AGGTGTCCATGGCAGTAACATTGGAGTTGCCCTCAACCCCAATGCTGACCAATACTCAATATCCTGTCCCTAGTTTCTGAGGACTCCTATCATCCTCACCACCACTGATTTGGTTGTCATTGTGTACTGTCAAGTTGGTTCCAATTCATAGTGACCTATATAGGGTTTCCAAGGTGTGGCAGGTGGGTTTGTACCACTGATCTTACAGAGTAATAACAGGATCTAGAGAGCTAATCTGGACTACTTTAAGTGCCCCCATTAGAACCTCTACCTTTAGCTAGGATTATTTTTCTAAAAATCAAATCTGATAGATTAAAAATGTAAGCATAAAAATATCTATAAAATAAGAAAATATTAGAGACTAGTTTATAATCTTGGAGAGAAGACCTTAAGCATGAGAGTAAACCATCATCAAACTATAAAGGAAAATACAGATTTAGTTCCATTCACATTTAAAACTATCACATGAAGAAAAAAAGAATCACCATAAATCTAAAAATCAAATCCACTGCCACTGAGTTGATTCTGACTCTTATTAAAACCATGTCCATCAAAGTAGAACTGTGCTTCTCCATGGGATTTTCAGTAGCTGATTTTTCAGAGGTTACCAGACCTTGCTTCTGAAGTGCCTCTGGAGAGATTCCAACTTCCAACCTTTTCAGTTAGCAGTCAAGTGCATTAATACAGGGACTCACTAAGAGAAGACATCTGCCATATATAAAAGACATCAGATTACCATCAAGTGGAGTCAGCAGAAAATGGTCTAAATGAAAAATCTTACCACCCACCGTTTTTGTAAATAAAGGTTTATTGGCACATAGCCACACCCACTAGTTTAAGTACTATGCTGCTTGTAGTTGTTGTTGTGTGCGGTGGAGTCGGTTCCGACTCATAGTGACCCTGTACAGGGTTTCCGAGGCTGTAAATCTTTGTTGTTGTTGTTGTTATGTGCCATGGAGTCGGTTCCGACTCATAGCGACCCTGTACAGGGTTTCCGAGGCTGTAAATCTTTACGGGAGCAGAAAGCCTCATCTTTCTCCCGTGGAACAGCTGGTAGTTTTGAACTGCTGACTTTGCGGTTCGCAGCTCAATTTGTAACCACTACGCTAATTATGCTGCTACTTTCCCATTAAAATGACATCGCTGAGTAACTGTCACAGACACTTGGTACGGCAAAGCCTAAAATGTTTACTATTTAGTCCTTTAAAGAAAGTTTCTAACCCCCGACCTAGAGTATATATAGAAAGCTCCTATAAACTCACTCCCCCGTAAAAAAAAAAACACTAACCCAACAGAAAAACAATTATGAACAAGCAATCCAAAGAAGAAATTAAAAAAAAAAAAAAAAATTCAAACATTGTAAGAGGAAGCTTGATGTCACTGGTAAAGGAAAATTATTAAAGAATTAAATCATTTGAAAATATCCACTCTAGGCAATGGTATGACAGCCTTTTTTGGACAGCAATTGGGTGGTATCTATTTTTAAAAAGATGTAATTGATATCAATTTGGCCATTCTATTTTTAGGTATATGCCCCAGAGAAAAACTTGCATGTGTGCGCACACACACTCAAAAGCAAATTTAAAGATGTTCACTGAAGCATTCACTGTTTCTAACAGCAAAACCCGGAAGTCATCCAGATCACCGTCAATAACGGAATAGTTAGATGATGGAAAAACTCTAATAATATCGTACATAAAAAAGAGTTTGGGATATTCACATGTAACACCAAGAAAAGAACTCTCAGGTATACTGTTAAACAGAAAAAAAACTGTTGCAAAACAAATATATACAACAATTCAAAGGGTTAACCGCTTATTTGAGTCCTTATGTATGCAGAGTTGCTGTTGTTAGTACCATCAAGTCGGGTCCTTCCAGACGGTTCCCACCTTGTACAGGGTTACCAAAGAGTGGCTGATGGGTTCAAAAGACGGACCCTGTGGTTCGTAATCCAGTGATTATCCTAAGGTGCCACACAGAGAAAAGTTGGAAGGAAACACCACCCTGTGGACATGGCCTGGACTAGAGAGGGGGTGACAAGTCCAAGGGAGATTCAAAAGTTTGTGGGAAAATTCCATTATTTTTCATTCCATTTCCCACAAATGTGTTAATTTCCCCGCTCATATTATAGGACTGTCACTTGTGACAGATCCTGGGCCACTGTGAATTCCAGGAGTAAGAAGCAGACAAGGGTATACTCCATTCCAAACTAGCATCTCAAGATTCCCAAACATGCCCTCTTGTAGCACTTATGCAACACAACCATCCCTGCCTTCACTGCCATCATGTATCCATGGACGCCCCTTACAGACCCTGAATTCCTCTTACAGGGGAAAGAACGGTGGCTGAAGGTCTCTGGCTCTGTCCCTGCCTGGGCAAGTGTCACTCCCCTTCTTTGGGGTTCATCTTCTCATCAGTAAAAAGCAATCATCAAATTAGGTGATCTCTATGTCCCTTCTAGGTTTCATGGAAAAGGATGCCCCTGAACAATTATAGACGGAAAACAAACAAAACTCACAACTGAGGAAATAAAGTTTAAATCAGAAGGAGGCTAGGAGACATGTTACATACAACATCTCCTCCTGGGAAGATGGCATCCAAATAGTCAAAGCCAGTGGCTATTGGTGTTTGCTCCTAGCCTCCCTGGCCTGTGTCCCCACCCACTAAAAAGGCGATGGTTTCAATGATCACTAATACAGTTTCCAGCCTGGACAATCTAAAATAAGCTCAGGAAAGTTGTCCGGCAGGAGCAAACAGGGCCTTGGAGGAGACCAGTAGAAACGCAATGGCTGAGGTTTTCTTCCTGAGCCTGCGCCTGTAAGAATGGGAGTAAGGAACTGGGGGAGGGCCAGATGCAGAGCAGCAGCTAAGGCTATTGGCAACAGCACTGAAGTTTCCTCGACTTTTTTCAAGAGCAGTTTCTTCCTGAAAGATCCCAGGAGGTAGAAGACTGGCTAATCTATCCCAGCACAAGTATCCCTGCTCATTTCAGAAATTGCTGTTCCATTTGAGCTCTGGAGGTCTCTCATGCCTATTCCTAAACCCACAATTTAACTTTGGTGACACTGAAAACGTATATTCAATCTACCCCCCCCATTCTAATTAATAATCAACAGGTTTTTTAAAAAATAATTTTAATAGACTCAACTTGGATATTCAGGTTCCATTCTAACATTCTTAAGAATCAGAAAACTGCCCCTACGAGGTTTAAATACCTAATTTACCAGATTTGGCAGTTGTTTGGAGTAACCAGGAAACTTAGAAAGCTCTCCCAGAACATCCTGTGCCAAACCCAGAAACTTCCTAAGTCAAAGTTGACTATTTTGTAGGTGGTTTCTTGTTTGTTTGGTTTTTTAATTATAAACCAAAAATGCATAATAGCATTCCTTGCTTTTCATGACAACTCACAGAGGCCAGCCAGGGAGCACTATTTACAAATTCTAGATAAGGAAATAAAATATACAGAGACAAAGTGACTTGTTCAAGGGCAACAGCTGAAAGTCATAGCCAATACTAGAAGTCAAGTCTCTTGACTCTTTCTGCAGGGCCCTCATCACCACACAAGTGCCTTCCCAGGAAAAAGCATCCACATGCCAAGTGGTTGATAGTTCTTCTCCCTCAAAGTCCGCCCCTGAAACACCAGAGCACCAGATTAGGACACAGGATTCTACCCTTTCCAAGCTGGCATTTGCCAAAAGCTCTTCAACCTACAAAGCCGTACAATCTACAATGACTTCACAGCTCTGAGTGTCTGGTCAAGCTTTTTGGTTTTAGGTGAAGACAGTCAGAAGCTTGACCTCAGAGAAAGGCCCAGTGTCCCAAGCCATAATCTCTGCCCTGTCACCCCACTTCATCCACTGTGTGAACAAATCCATGGTGTGTGCACTTAAACTGCATTACAACAGCAAGGATGGATGCACTTCAGAGCTATCTTCAGTCTAAGGATTCTTCTGCAGAAACGGCTGTAACTAGGTCACACTGACCTGAAATATAAAGGAAGCTCCCCAGCCTACTGAGCCAGTTGAGGACAAGAGGACACTCTATAGAGGACCAAGACTGGAGAGAGAGAGAAGATATCAACACATATCAAGGAGATGCAAACACAACCTAGTCAGGAACACAAGAATCTAACTCTGCATGACCCAAGCCCTCCAAATGTTCACAAATTCCAGAAGGCAATGGGTCCCAAAAGCCAATGGGGCTGTGGCTGATCCCCAACTCCTGAATCAAGTCTCTAGGACTCTCCGTTCTTGAAGGCCAACGATGATGCAGCTATGGAGCACACTAAACTAGTTCAAAGCCCTCATCTGACAGATGCAGGCAAAGTGACGACCCATAGGTCTCCCATCAACAAAAGGCCCTCCAGTTCAAGAGCAAAACCTCAGACAGCAGGAGACTTCAACCCTGGCTGCCACTGATGATGACTTAGAATCTGGCCAGGCCAGGCCTGACAGAACCAAGACCATCCTGTTCCCCAATCACTCTGGGTGGACAAGTACAAGTAGTGCCCCAAGACAGGCTCTGAGGGGTCCTCCAATGGCAGGAAGCCACCCAATCCCAAGCACTTTGTCCCTCCTAAAACCAACCAGACATTTTTGTGTTTTTGTACCCCCCCCCCAACAGCATGAATCACACGGTGGCGATGGGAGCAGGACAGAATGTTATTTTTCGGCATACTTGAGGATATTCTCTTTGTCCGCTTCTATCCATGCACTTCCCACCGCCATCCCTAGTCCCTGACTCGCTCACATCTTCCCGGTTACGCTGAATTTTCAACCGTAGGCCCGCCCTGGAACAAGGCATCACCAGGTTCATCATCATGGAGCCGGTCAGGGGCCGGTGGGTGTATGGGCGGAGGCGGCTCCCGAGGGTCCAGAGGGTGTCAGGCCCAGGATAGCTGCGGGAGACCAGGGTCCCCACCCCCGCCCCGGTCCCCAGACCCTCAGCCCCCGGTCGCACCGCCCTGGGTCTCCCGCCCCCGCCCAGATCGCGGCGCTCACCTGGCTCAGGTCTTCGTCGTTAAGCAGATGCGACTCGCGCGGCTTGAAGCAGTTCTGACACTTGCTCTTGTTGAAGATGTTGGCCTGGAATTTCCGGCAAGGGTTCTCCTTGGCAGCCGACATGGCCGGCGGGCGCGCTCGCTGGGGCGAGGGCCGTCACACGCCGGGCTGAGGGGCCATGCCGAACTCTCGGCCGGCGCCGGTAGGGGCGGCCTGGTGGGCGGGTTGCTGCGGACAGCCCGCAGAAGGGCCTTCAGGAAGGCACGGTTTCGCCGCCGCCCGGGGGCCGCCTCAGGGAGCGGTGCTCCGGTACGCCCTGCCGGTCTTGCCGGTCCCCCGACGTCAGAGTGCCCCGCGGCCGCAGGTCCCCACCACCAGCACCGCGCCCCACGGCCGCTGCAAATGGGAGCGTAGCGCCAGGCGCGTTCCCGGACGCGTCCCCGGGCGGGGGCGGGGCGCGGAGGCCGCTTTGGGGCCGCGCGCGAGGCGGGGCCACGTTCCGGTACGACCGTCAGTCCCGTGGGCCAATGGCAGCAGCGATCTTCGGCTAACAAAGAAACCCCTCGACCAATGGAACCAGGGGCGGGGACAAGGGGCACAAGCTCAAGGTACCTTGTGCGACGCCGGGAGGTGGAGGCGCCGCCTGGGACGTCTAGGTTTGGTGGACCGGTGCAGGACCGCCGACCTGACAGCTGCAGGGGCGGGGCGGGGGAGGAGGCGGGGCCTGCCTCAAACTTCCAGCTTGCCAGCTAGCCTACCGCGGATTCTGTGCACCAAAGGAAAGCATGGTTCCAGCCCTGAGCTTTCCCAGCTGTAGGAGCATACTAGCCGCAATAGCAGTAGTTAGTAATTAGCATTAGTAATAGTGGTAGATACTGGGTCTGCTGTGGCGCTGTAGGATCAGCACTGAACTGCGAACTACAAGGTTGGCAGTTCAAATCCACCAGCTGTTCCTCGGAAACCCTATAAAGGCTCGCTATGAGCTGGAACCGACTCAAAGGCGCTTAACAACAACTGGCCTAAGAGCTCGGATTTTACTCATGAGTAAACTGAGGCTCAGAGAAATTAATAGAGAGAGAGTGTTTTAAGGGATGACTAAAAGCTGTCAACCTTGGTGAGCTGTCTGTTTTGTTACAGGACAAGAGTGAGGAGTCTTGGTGTGGCTCTGTGGGATAAAGCACTAAACTGCAAGGTCAGTGTGACCCACATGGTTGGCAGTTCAAACTCACCAGCCGTTCCTTGGAAACTCTATACAGGGTTGCTATGAGTCAGAAGGGACTTGACAGCACTTAACAACAACCTTGAGGAAATGAAGGCTCAAGCAATGGCAGTGATTTGTGCAGATGGCTCTGCTAAGAAGGGACGGAGCTACCAGTCTAACCTTCCACTGTCCACTTTCTTTGCCAAAATACCACTGGAAGAGGACTGTAAAGAGGCACCGGCAGCAAGGCACTATTTAGGAAAACTAAGGGTTACTTCACTGAGGAGGGGAAATTTGAGTAGACAGTAAGAGGGGAGGCTGGGAAGGCAAGGACTGGAGGGATGAAACTAAAGGGATTCTGCAGGGCCTTGTACTCAGAGCCATCCCTTTGGCAGTAGAGATAAGTTTTTAAAGGAGAATGAGTTCACTCTGCCTTCACAGAGAAGTGACACTGAAACATGTGGTAGCAGTAACCAGGAACGGGAATGGAAAGGATTAGGAGGAGAAAGATCAGGTGCTTCCAAAGCAGTAGTGTGTACTTTTCCTCTGATCATCTGCTTCTGGAGACTAGCCCAGGGCCATGGGTTTCACCTTGGTGTAAGAAAACATCAAGTGGAAGAAAGAGTCAAAATCCTGCAGCAGAAGGATAAAACTTCTTCCTCACTAGCTGTGTGGCCTTGGCATGACCCTTAACCTTCTAGATACCTCAGTTACCTCTTCTGAAAAATGGGTTCTTCTGTATGAATGTAAATTATATGGTGGTGGTCGAGGTGGATATGTGCCACTGAGTCCGTTCCCACTCACAGCAAACCTGTATAAGGTTTCTCCCATGGAGCAGCTGGTAGATTAGAACTACTGACCTTGAGGTTAGAAGCCCCACCTGTAATCCAGTACGCTATCAGGGCTCCTAGTACATGATCTATATAATGCTTGTAAAAGATTTAGCATAGCATGGCAAAAAGTTAACTGGTGAATCCAGCAAAGGGTATGTGCTGCTTATTGTACTATTCTTATAACTTTTCTGTTGGCTTAAATTTTTGCAAAATAAAAATAAGGTGAGGCTCAATTCTTGTCTACATAGAATACGAAGAAATTAATACTAATGGGGATCTCTGGGAAAGGGAGCTGGGAAATTTACAGGTGATCACTTTTGATTTTTATCGTAAACACTTTTGTTCATTCTGGATTTTGTATTGTATGCATGTACAACTTACTTTTACATCTTTTTTTTTTAATGTTTTATTGTGAATTATATGATAGTTTGTATGGGAGAACATTAGCTTTATATTCATCCTGTCGTATATTGTTTCATTGCCATGGTTACAATTCCCCTCTATGTGTCATCAACCAACCAAAGGGTATACCCTGCAAGCCTGCCCCTGGTTGGTCATCAGCACACATCCCCTCTTCCTCTCTGGATCTAGAGTCCCCAGCCGCTCCATCTCTCCAAGTCATCATCTCTGCCTCCATCTCTGGCGTCATTGTTTCTCTGGGTAGGGTCCTGCATTCCACTCTTCTCCCTTGATGGTCTCAGGGACCTCCTCTCCTCGACTGCAAAGTCAACCATTCCCCTCCTTTTGCTACAAAATGTCTACCTTTACATTTCCAACCCTCACAGTCAGTCCTGATAATGACTATTCACTATTGTATCACATGAGTGCTATCCACATCTCCTTTCATCAGCCCCACACAGGCAGATTGGATACCACTCAGTGAAGATTCCACCTTCCTCCATGCCTGCTGGATCTAAGCTCCCTCTTAAAAGCTTGTAAGCCAGTCACTTCTTGCCTTTGTAGCTTCTCCCCTCCCCCCTCACTTTGGGTAGCCAATGTCCAAGTTGCCCCTCCCTGTCTACTGTCGATATGGAGAAGGGTGGGAATGATCCTCGCTGTAAAGATTAGTTCCCTCTTTTGAGCTACTGCATCCATAGGTGTAGGTCAAGTTCATCAAATTGTATCAGATTACTCTTTTTTTCTTCTTCTTTCTTCTTCTAATTGAGCTCTGATCATCCAGCCATTGAAGCCAAGTCAAGTGGGTATTGTCTGCAAGTCTGGGTGTTCTCCCCTCTCTTTTATCAGCTGGATGCTTCTTTCTCCACTCTAGTCCTCTGTGGCTGTGTCACTGACTCTGGGCCCAGGTACATTATATTTTTAAAGTTTTACCCAAAGAAGCCCTGGTAGTGTAGTGCATTACAAGTTGTACTGCTAACTACAAGGTCAGCAGTTTTGAGTCTACCAGCTACTCCACAGGAGAAAGATGAGACTTTCTGCTACCGTAAAGATTTACAGCCTCAAAAACCTCACTGTGAGTTAGAACTGACTCCATGACACTTAACTACCACCACCACCACCACCCATGCTTCCAGGCTAGCTCAAAGACCATCTCATTTAATGAAATGCTGGCATGTTTTGCTCAGGTCAGGGAACACACTAGGACACCTGCCTACGTGGGAGTGGGAGGCAGTCCAGCAAATGAGTGATTCAGACTGCCTGCCTGAAGGAGCTAACACTTGAGCAAGTGGAGACAGAGAGCTAGAAAGTTAGCATGCAAAAAGGCTATTAAGGAGATCAAGAGGGTCCTGCTGTGATGCTGTAGGACAAGCACTGGACTGCTAACCACAAGGTCAGTGGTTCAAACCCACCAGCCACTCCTCAGGAACCCTATATGGATGCTCTATGAGAGAGAACCAACTTGACTTTACAGCACTTTACAGCAACAACAGTCTTGAAAACTGAGTATGATTCACTCAGGAGAAGGTAGAAAGAAAGGCATTGCAGAGAACAGAAGTGACCAGAACAAAGGCTCAGGGACTTAAAACCAAACAGTGCAACATCTAAAAATCAGTTGGATTCCTTTATACCAATAACAACAGTGCTGAAAAGGACATTAGGAAAGCAATACCATTTACAATAGCCACCCAAAGGATGAAATAACTAGGAATAAATGTAAGCAGAGAAACAAAGAAAACTACAGAACACTACTACAAGAAACCAAAAGAGACTTTCAAAAATGGGAGAATATACCATGCTCCTGGATATGTACACTTAACATTGTGAAAATGTCAATACTACCCAAAGCAGTTTACACATATAATGAGATCCCAATCCAGATTCCAACAACATTCTTCAAAGAGATGGAAAAAAACAATTACAAACTTTATATGGAAAGCAAAGAGACCCAGGATAGGCAAAGCACTGCTTAAGAAGAAGAACAGTATGGGGGACTTCTCACTCCCTGATTTCAAAACTTACTACATGGCTACAGTGGTCAAAACAGCCTGGTACTGGTATAATGAAAGATACATTGATCAATGGAACAGAATTGAGAATCTAGAAATTAACCCGTCCACATACAGCCAATTGATTTTTGCAGATAGTCTCTTCAACAGATGGTGCTGGCAGAATTAGAAAGTGATATGCAAAAGACTGAAACAAGACCTTTACCTCATGCCTTATACAAAAACCAACTCAGCATGGATTAAAGACCTAAATGTGAATCCCAGAATTAGGAAGGCCATCAATGAAAAAATAGGGGAAAATGTGAGCACTCTAATACAGGGCATACACAGACTACCAAACATTTTGAAAATTATACAAACAAAAACAGACAAAATAGATGATTGGAACATACTAAAAATTTAAAATTTATGTGCATAAAAACACTTCATCAAAAGAATAAAGGGGAGCCCACACATCAGAAAAGGGACTCATTTCTAAAATACATAGGAACCTACAGCACCTCTACACGAAAAGAATGAATAACCCAATTAAAAAATGGACACAGGACATGAATAGACACTTCACCAAGGAGGAGATCCAGGCAGCCAACAAACATATGAAGAAATGTTCACGATCACTAGCCTTTAGCGAGATGAAAATCAAAACAACAGTGATATATCATCTCACACCAGCAATACTAGCAA